AATCATTCATTCATACAATGATAATACAATTCATACAATGATAATACAATTCATACAATGATAATACAATTCATACAATGATAATACAATTCATACAATGATAATACAATTCATWCAATGGTGTGTCAAAGCTGGGAAACATCTAAAACATAGAGATGTTGGCCAGATAGTGTTTCTGGAGGAGCAGGGCTGGAATCACTGATCTAGATATCATCTCGGTCTTATCTGGACCAAGTAGAAAATTGTGGTATTTCTTTCATCACTTTCACAGGCAGGTTTGAATTAAACTAAAATRATTAATATTTGAACATCATCACTCATTGATAAAACCATAAATATGCTGAAAACTTGAAGTGAAATTACACTTTAATCACCTGCTTCAACCATCACCTCAGTTTATGAGACAATTTATGAAACAATCTGCTCATACACAGCTATATATCATTATAAATAAGTCAAACGTACAATTTTAGCTAAATTAAGTTTTTGTTTATCCAATTCAGCTCCTCATACATTTGTGGCAACATTTTAAYAAGAATAGATTTTATTTGGAGGTGTCTTTCTGTCAACCAAGAACACCGAACAGGCAACAGACGCATGTAAAAACATATACTGTACAAAATTAAAAGCAGTAAGTGAACAAGACAATGAGAATTGCAATCAGTTGGGATAAGCAAACCTGAAGAAATGTTTTTTTTTAGTTTGGCTTTAAAGAGAGTGAGAGAGTTCAGGCTTTAAGAACTTTTGTTTGACTGATGAGCTGTCCCATAAAACAGATTTAATGTTTTATTGTAAATGGTTTTGACTCAGTAAATACTATGGCATCATGAGGCACGAGAGAGGGGGAAGAAAATGCTGTGCATCAAAAATAAACAAATATTGCCCCACTTCACTGCACAAAAAGAGTGTTTGTATTAAGAATAAACAAGCTTCTCACTGAATGATTTTTAGTGTAATTTGTGCTTTTCTTTTTTCCATTTGCACTTCATGTGCAGTGTAGGTAATCAGTTTGCAGGACTGCAGGTTTGTTTACAAGCTGTCAGTGTGTGTTTGCTCAGCGGGGTGGATTTGTAAGTGTTTGACTTCATCATTATCAGAGCTGTTGGTCCCCTGAAGATCAAAAATATAATCTAGGTTAAACTTTGTTTTTCCTTTTTATATAAGTACACGTTGTAAACAAACTGGACTCCTCCTGGGTAAAAAATATGTCAATGATAAAACCAGGGTTACTACTGTGGAGGAAATTTACTATGTTCTTATAAGGTCGTATTCAGACCTGATAATTTGCTCCGCTTTAAACGAACCAGAGTTCCTTTCCAGCGTTGGTCCGGACTTTTTGTGCAGGTGTGAATACACTCATGTGAACTCTGGTGCGGATCAAACAAGCGGACCGAGACCTGCTTTTTGAGGTGGTCTCGGTCCGCTTCCACACGAACTCTGGTGCGGTTCACTTCAGTTTGCTTCTGGTGTGAATACAGACCGGACTCTAACCGAACAAACTGCATTAATYATGCACCTTTTTGGACTTCACAGGCCACCGTTGCTGAGCTAAATAAACTGAAAACATACCTGTTTCGTCGTCTCCTGTTAGCAGCTCTACTGGCAGCATGTTGTGGGTCAGAACACGCAGAGCACCTCKTCTCCTTTGGGTTGCGGGACACATTTACTGACGCCGCTCCAAAATTAGAATATCATCACRGAACCACCATTWAAWTWRSTGCTTCTGACATTTTAAATGCTTTTGCAGTTGTACTATCAGCAAAAATGTGCGCATCAGAACTGCAGCTTGCAGGACTTCCTTGTTTTCTTCTGGATCTGTGGCTCAGTCCCGCCCCCGTCCTTTTTTTGTCCAATGGAAGCAATGATCGTCAGCCTCATGGCTTTGTTTACAAGTTATAGTTCATTTGCAAAAAAGCACAATGTGAATGCAAACCGCACCAAACGAAAAAAAAAAGTCTATTTTTGGTCYGGACCAAACAATTGGACCAAAGGACTTTCCTGGTCTGAATACACCCTATGTGAAATGTTTAGGAGTCTATGAATGCCTTTCACTTGGTTTATTTTAGCTGTACGGTACGAGGAGCTCAACACAGAGGCCACCTGTAGCTCAACAATTCCTCTCATTTGCACTTATAGATGTATGAGAGTAGTGATGATACAACATGAACCTGTAAAACAACAAATGCATACAAACTAGTACAGAAACTGGCTATTACATCCTGTTTAGAGTGCCTCCAGAGAAAAATAAAGAAAAACTATATTTGGTCATAGGTATATTACGTTACACAGGTTCACAAAAACAGGTTTACATGAAAAGTTTCTTTTCAAGAACAAGTTATTTTCATATATAGACAGTTTCCCAATTTCTATACAGAAGTAGCAGCAAAAATCATAAACTTGTAAAGCTGAACAGAAAAAAATACACAAAAATGACGAGGCTAGATGATGATAGACATAAAACTTTGTTGTCAACCTTTTTTGCACTTGTCTTTTCTCTCCCATTATCTATGGTAGATTTTGACAGGCACAATAAGCTGATTGCATAAATAGTTGCTGCTTGAAGATAATTCGATTTTAATTGACCTGCAATTAAGAATCCCATTAACAGTTTTAATTTCTACGTAAACCAGCTTTGACATGATAATTATTCAGTTTGCACAGAGCAGGAAGTAGCTGCTCGGGGGGACCAGCTGCTTTAATGTAATGTAGCTGGCAGAAATACCACTGTTTTCTTCTGTACTTCTGCTGTGATTATGTTCATTATGAGTCATCTGATTATAGTACATATTAAACATGAGTCATCTGATTATGGTACATAATAATCATGAGTCATCTGATTATAGTACACAGTGACCGCCACCGAACTCCAACCTTCCCATGAATAGATGTCAGTATGAAACCGTCTATTGTTGGGTGGTCCGATACATGAAAACAAAGTGCAGGACTTGTAGAAAAAAAAGCACAAAGATTGTAGCACCAGAGGTATYGGAAGGATTTTCCAGAAATGTAAACATTCGAATGTGACAGAGGCATCACTTTTATTGATTTAAGAGTGAAATAATTAAGTTTTAATAATTATTAATTAGGTTTATTTCTACTTATTATTTGCACTTTATGGCTTTTACAGCATTCTGGGTTCTCATTAAATGTCATATTGWATTGTCTTAAAACTAAGATTGCATGAATCATTTTCATTTTTTTATTGTTAATTCATATTTTTAAATTTGCATCTTGAATTTTTGCTATGATGCAGATTACTCCTGACCAAACAGACTGAGATAGTTCAGTTTAATCTATTTGACACGTTCTTTGTATTTCTTTTTATACAGTATATGGAAACATCTGAGCACGCCTTTAGAAATACAGACACAGTTCCCATAAAAGGTGTGTCAAAGGTGGTTTAAGAACTGAGCCAGTCCTGCCAGATAAATACTGTCTTTCCTCTCCAAAAACCCATGCATTTAGATGGAATGGSACCACTTCACTGCTGCTTCAAAAACAACTTATTATCTTCTTCCAGCCTCACCTACACCTCCTTGCCCCAGAAAGACCTTCTGATAACTGTGAGAAAACTAAATCTAACACTTGATGATAATGGCCCACTTAGCTTTCGCTGAACAAAAACAAAATATGAGCTTCTACAGTTTCTGGCAGCAARAAGCAGATGAAACACAGACAAAGGGAAACACAGCTTGCTGGTGTTGTAAACATGTCATTTTGACATGATTATTTTTGCTTCTTAAATGCATGATTGGAATAGATTTGTCTTCTATTTCTTCTGTTTTGAGATTCAAAGCCATTCCGGGAACATTCAGGACCATTCTGCCACGTCTAATAGACCGATAATTTCACTGATCTTATTCTAAATTCTGAATAAAAACTCATTTTCTGTGATTGTTCTGAAATGTCACTGCTCACAATAACGCTTTACAAACTGAAACATTTAGAATTGSATCAAAAGTAGAAAAATATTTTGGGATCAGCTGACAAACTAGTTCAAATACTATTATGTTTGCATAAGAACAGCTTTAAACTTGCTTGCTTTAATGGTTTGAGTTTTTGATGATTTAAGAGCAAAGGATGAAATGAGTGAAAGGAGCACTGGTCTTACAATGTTTACAGCATCTTTTTCTTTGCTACACTGTTTTTACTGGATGCAAATAGAAAACTTGACATTGTTTTAGTCCTTAAAGATACCTTTTGTGAATCCTGGTGAACAAATACAGTAGTCATTGAGATAATTCCAGTTTTTGATCAGGATGACAGACTTCACATCACTGAGCAAAGATTCAGCAGCTAAATGAATAGTTTGATATATTCTTAGCACAAAAAGTAAGTAAATTTGTGTTTGGTAGATTATTTCTTTTTTGTATCAATGCTTCTTGGTAATAAATCTTACACAGTTGATTAGCAAACCGAGAGTTCCTGTTAACTTCGAGCCATTTGTAAGGAACATGCATTTGTGGGACAAGCTGTAGAGTTAAGTATGTGGGTTTCACACATAAAAAAAATAATTAAATCTTCTCTGTCAAACTGCTTATTTTGTTGTTATTATTGACACTTGTTTTAAGCTTCTGGTACACTCAGGTTCTGCCAATTAGTATAAGATTTATTACCAAGAAGCATTTTTAAAACAAAGAAATAGTCTAAAACACAGTTTTCCATACTTTTTCAGCTATAAATGGTATTCTGTATGGTTGAAGTTTATAAACTCTGTTGTAATTGGGTTAGTAAAGCTTTCTGATCACAGTCACACTCTATCAAAGCATGTGATCTGCAGCATTAAACATTTTGTTGTTTAGGACAATTTAACCTCAGTTACCTTATTTTTCAAGCTAAAGTTGCCAGTTAGCTACCATCTAACTGAAAAAAATATGTCATTTGGTCTAATAAATGTTTTTGTTTAAGAATGTTGAAAGATCTTAAAACTTTTAACCCTTTAGTTTTTACCTTTGCTCAAGCTGATGAATAATCTGTTAAAAACTTTGTTGTGTTTCCAGTTAATAGGCGGGTTTATCCTGGCTGTCGGCATCTATGCAGAGGTGGAGAGACAACGCTACAAGACCCTGGAGGGCATGTTTTTGGCTCCAGCCATAATCCTGATCCTGCTGGGAATCCTCATGTTTATTGTTTCATTGATTGGTGTCCTGGGTTCACTGAGGGATAACCTGTGYCTACTGAGAGTGGTGAGTGCTGAACCAAGAGAGAAGTATCATATCTTTTTATAATTCATGTGTGGAGTTTAAGCTCAACATTAACATTTAGAATCAAACTTGAGGACCAAGACAATATTTAAAACTTGTTATATTTATATGTCATCATAGTGGTCAAACAGCTTGATCAGCGAGTCCTGTGATCATCAGCTTTTTGTAGAATCTGGAAAATAAATAAATAAATGCTCAGATCAAAACTCCAAACTAAAAAGGAAACCAAGACTTCAGCTTTTTAGGCTGCTTAGAAAACTCTATATTTTAGATAAAAGTGGCCCATTTATACACGGATCAGAATCTTCTGTCCACAGGAAGCTTTCACAGCTGAATAAGGCGCATTTTTCAGGGTTGGAAATAATGGAACGTGTGTGTGTGTGTGTGTGTGTGTGTGTGTGTGTGTGTGTGTGTGTG